TTGTTTAGCCCAGATAATATAGATGATGGACTTGAGACAATAAAGGACACTCTATCAGCAAGTGATGATGTATTAGGATGAGAAATAGAAAATGTTTATGAAATAAGATAAGAATATATTTATAAGTAATATGTATATTCTAGATATGATAACTTTTATGTAGTGAAATAAAGGAAATTTGGATTACCCGAAACTCAAACACTATGGATATTGGAATATTGTAATATAAAAATTAAAAATTAGGTAAAACTTAAAAACAGGATATGGATATGTATAAGCAAAAAATATATTGATAAATGTTTTAACTAACTTAGTTATAATTAAAGATCTATTAGCCTAAATGTAATATAACAAACGTTAAGGGAAATAGAGAAGGAATTTCTGATGATGTAACCTGAGATATGTACTAAAGATTTTGTTATTGAACCACTGATTACCCAGTCACCACGCTGCTTTCCGAATACTCAATGTAAAATTGGGAAACCAATAAACATTTGTTTTTTAAAAAAAGAATCTTTATTTGGTTAGCATAGCATCGGCACTAAAATAATTGAAGCCAAAAATTGAGGTCCCCTTCCCTGAGCACATAGTATCAAAGCACAATTCCCTCCTCCAGTTAACAATCATAAATCACATCCCCCAATTAGTTTGAAGCATGGGCTTCCCCTCCAGCTCTCCAGCCTGCCAATTCCTTATCATTTCTTATTTCAACAATCTTGGTTCTCACACTAGGTCCAGTGTTATTATGTCTAGCTAGCCTCTTGTGCACATTCCCCCCCCTCCCAGCATCATCTAACTCTAAAAGCAAAATGAAGAAAATGGCTGCATCTCCATCTGTTGTCAATGCAAAAACATTCGAGATTAAACGTTTCCTGTGCTCCCATCTCAATTCACAGCATCGTTTCAGACTGCGGAGAAAACATAGGACAAACAATGATCAATTCAACACTGCAGAAGGACATTAAAATGACAGACCTGCAATGACAAAAAACATCTACTTTTGTTCCTGGATGAGGACAACCCAGGAGACCAAGGTCTATCGTGGTCGGTGACTTCAAGCTGGAGTGTGACTCTGACTAACCAGAATTGACCTTGACTTTCTTCTTGGATCAGTTGTCCTCCAGCTCAAACTAATATGGGTTTTATTTAGGTGGTGGGATCAAATAAAATGTACCAATAAAGGAGTATATTTGTAGCACAGGGTTGAAATGTATTTGTAGCTCTGGCTGGGGAATTCTGGGGGATGAAGTCCACACATCTTAAAGTTACTAAGGTTGAGAAACATTGCTTTGAGAGGGTCATTGGTGCTCTCTGAGCTTGCTTGTTTTCTTGCAGATGTTTCATTACCTAACTAGGTAACATCATCAGTGCTAGTAAGAAGTCTTGTTTGCTGATAGCAAGCTCATGGCCTGGTTTTGCTGAAAACTGCAGGTTTTCGACAAAAACATCGCAAAATATGGTCATGACTATGGAGATTCTCAGTCATCCAGGTCATGGTTATTCTAAAATGGCTTTTTCAGGAGGCAACTGGACGTTCTGGTTTTTCTTTGAAGACATTTCGCTTCTCATCCAAGAAACTTCTTTAGCTCTGATCAGATGGTAGGGAATGGAAGGATTTTTATTCCTTGCAGACAGCTGGTCATTTGTATTCTTCCAAGTGGCCTCAATGACTCTCTAAAAGAAGGCAAATGACCAGCGGTTTGCAAGGAGTATAAATCTTTTCATTCCCCCACCATCCAGTCAGAGCGGAAGAAGCTTCTTGGATGAGAAGTAAAATGTCTTCAAAGAAAAACAAGAATGTCCAGTTGCCTCATGAAAAAGCACCTTTAGGAAAACGGGGTCATGTGGCTGCAGGAAGCTGCAAACAGCCATAAGTCCTATGAAGAGGTGGGGGGTGGGGGTGGGGAAGATGGGCAGCCCTTAGTATTTTGGAAGCTGGTTGTAAGTACCTCTGAGGAGGTCCGTTGTCACTTCAAATGGTTCCTGAGCAACTGGGCATAAGTGGGGCTGTACCTATAGAAAAAGATGAGAAGGCAGAAATGACCAAAATCAACTAAGTTAAGGAGATTGAGAAGCCTTTTTTGACTCTACACTCATCAGGAACTGAACTTGATCGGTGCCCTCAAATTTATTTCATTGCAATTCACAGGAGACCAGAAAAGGAGCAGCAGCCAACACCACACCCATCTGTTACTTCTCAAGGCTTCCAAAATGAGCTCTTCAACAATCTGGGGACAACTCTCCCCCTCCCAGAAGAGGCTGCAGGAATCCCTGATTGTGGGAGATAAACTCTTCTCCTTCTCCAGTGCCAACATTCAGTTCAAACCTGGTCAGAACTGGCAGCTGTTTTGCTGCAAAAGGGAGAAAAACAGGGAAGTTCCCATCTAGTTGTATAATGGGAAGCTTCTGCTCCCTCTTGATGGGTCACCTCCCTGAGGAGATGAATTCCTGGATATGATCTTCACCTCTGTTCTAGACTTCTCTTTTTCTCTTCTCCTCCATCCCTAAGTACCACCATGATGGATTTTCCCTCCAGCCCAGCC